TGCTGACTCACATTTATCCTGCAATCAACCAGTACCCTGCGATCTCTTTCACAAGTGCTGCTCTCCAGCCACTTGTCCTCCAACCTGTACTTATGACACCCATTCCTATGCCCCAAGTGCAAGACCTTGCACTTGTCCACACTGAATGCTATCCTGTTGTCTCCTGCCCATTTCCATAGTCTGTCCAGATCCAGTGGCTCCTCAGTTGTGGCCACTGCCCCGGTTTTAGTATCGTCTGCAAAATTGATCAGCAGACTGTTCACCCCTTTCTCCATGTCGTTGATGAAATGATTAAACAGAATCAGCCCCAGGAGAGCCCTGGGGGACCCTGCTTGTCACTGGCTGCCATCCTGATGATTCCCCACTAATGGTTACCCTCTGCTTTTGGTCAGTCAGCCATGCCCTAATCCATCGGACAGTGTATTGCTCTATCTCAAAACTCCTCAATTTCTCAACCAGGATATCATGGGGCACTTTGTCAAAGGCCTTGCTGAAATCCAGGTAAATCACATCCCCTCTGTCTCGCCACCTCAAAACCTTGTCATAGAATTCCACAAGGTTTGTCTGGCAGGACCTGTTTATTGCGGAAGTTCTGTTGTGTGGCCACCAGCCTCTCTTCCCTATCTAGCACCTCTGGATCTCTCACTATTAGGAGCCTCTCCATTGTTTTTCCTACAATGGACATAAGGCTAACAGGTCTGTAATTCCCCATGTCCCTTCTACTACCCTTTTTTAAAATTGGGACCACTGAAGCCACCTCCAGTCCTCTAGAACTTCACCCGTTCTCCACGCAGCCTCAAAAATGGAGGCCAGTGGGCATGACAGAACCCCTGGCAACTCTCAAAGTAGTCTCGGGTGTAACTCCATCAGGGCCCAGCACCTTTGTAACATCCAGTGCCCTGAGGAACTTTGTAACTTCACTCATGACATGCCCACCAGTGCATGTCCAGCCTATCCTTGAACATCCTCAATGATGGGGTTTCAACCACCTCCCACGGAAGCCCAAGAATTTTAAGCAGGAATAGAACCATAAATCTGTAATATGAAAGAGCTTTGAGGAGATAATAGCTCTTTGATCATTATTTGTACAACAATAGCCTCAAAAGTAGCTTACAGTAAAACATAACAGAGATTCTAAAAAATAAGGCAAAAACAAGAGCAGCACACCATTAATCAAAATGCCATCAACTGTAAAAATAAGAAACAAATACAAGCTTAACTTGTACAACAAGCTATACATAAGAAAAGCCCTGTTGGTCTTGACCAAAGACCAATCTAACCCAGAATCCCATTTCCCCCAGTGGCTTACAAGATTTATTTTATTTATTATTTATTAAAACATTTTTATGCTGCCCCATTCGCCAAAGCCTCGGGGTGGCTTACAACATTAAGTTAAAAAATATATAAACATTAAATTATAACATTAAATTAAAATGTTTGTAAAATACAAACATTAAGTTAAAATGTAAAAAATAACAATATAAAATATAAAATAAGTCGCCCTGGCCAGATAAAATCCAATAATATTAACAAATAAAACGCCGCTTAAATAAAAAGGTCTTCGCCTGGCGCCGAAAAACAAATAACGACGGTGCCAGGCGGACCTCCTTCATCATGTCCTCCTTCTTACTTGCCTTTTTTTTCTAATCTGAAAAAATGTATCAGGTGATGCTACAGTACTTGGGCCAATTGCTCCATCTCCTTGCTTATTTTTCTTTTCCTTGTCTACACACCTTCCAGCCCTACAAAATGATATGATTATTACAAGTGTGACTGCAGCATAGATTCTTATAAAGATTACATTTTAGTGTCCCTTCCCCACTCCACTTCTAATGATCCTAAAGTTAAAATCCATTTTTTTTTTCACAATTCATACTGAAATTTACAATACTGACAACTAAGGGCTTAGCTGGGGAATGAAATGCCATGCTGGATGAGATCAATGGTCCATCTATCTTAGCAACTAGTCTGCTGCAAGTGTTTCACAAACACCTGTTTGTGGTAGTAGATTAGCTTGAGAGAGAGAACCACACAAGGTCAGCCATTGAGTTTGATAGCTAAACTGGGATTTGCACCACGACTTTAGGATTAGGATACGAGCAACTAGTAAGTATAGCTGAACATCTGAGATTCATTAGTCCCTCATTTAGCCTTGGGAAAAATCAATTCAAAAATGTACACTGAAAACAGATCACATTTCCAACATATTGCTATGGAATGAATGGCCTTGATATCGTGTTTAAGATTTACAGAAGAAGTTGCTACTGTTCTGCATGGAAAAGTATAACAATTTTTTTCTTGTACTGCAGTGTAGATGGATTGCAACTCATACTCCCAACTGTAAATACTGTTTGGTCTTTCAGCAAGCTATTAAAGACTAAGTGCAGTCCTGTGTGTTTTTACTGAGAAATAAGTCCCACTGGCAGTACATCCAAGTAAGCATGTATACAACTGCAGCCTAAGTTCAAGTTATATATTATCAATATCTAAATTAAACCTATGAATAGAATATCACTTTTGGTTTAAATACATATGTAAGAAAAACTCTGAATGTCTCATTTAAAAAAAATCACAATTGCAAAAGAAATGAATACATAATAAATTAGTAGAGAAAATGCTTCAAGTAAAGTGGTATTTTAATATACAATCTAGATCTGTTTTCCATATCCTAAACGCACTGTCTGACTTCATTAGCATTTGTTCAGTGGGGCTTACTCCCAAGTAACTGATAATACAATTGCTGTCTTTACTAGGAGCATACCCAGTGCTTTAATGCAGCTTACTTTTATCTATGGAAAGGATCTCATCTTAACCACCTTATTCTAAGTATCTTTGCTCAGAGCTAGGTCCCACTGATTTCAATGTAACTTATTGCCTAATAAGTACTTACTAATAAGGACTGGAGTGCAAATTTTACTCCAAAACATTCTCCGTAAGTACTGAACACACTTTAATCCATTGCGCAGTGTGCTTACATAGACTTTCATGATTGGGTCAAAACCATTTTTATTTCACTAAGTTTTATTTTCATTTTAGCTACTTAACTTGACTGTTACTTTTTTCCCTCTAACAAACACATGCTATAAAATGACAGAATTAGACACAGAAAAATAGTTGGTTAACATGATAAGTGAGATTTTAGATCAATAGTCCTAAAAGCAGTTTGGTCAATCTTACAGCTCAATCCACAACCCAAAGCAAAGTAAAATATCTGTATCTTATTACTCATTAAGTTCTAAAATAAGAAGCAACAGTTATGAAACCTACAGTGTTTTGAAAATGTTCACTCTAATCCCAAACATACGACTGTTGACTGGTGTTAAAAGAAACTCTGAGTGCGCAACGACACTTTAGGTTCATTTCTATACCGCAAAAAGTCATGCAACTTCTAGAGCTGGCAAGAGAACACCGGAAGTAATAAGACCTTTTCCTGGTTAACCATGCATAGGATTGTGTCCTTTAACTGCAATTTTATTGCATTTTAGCGAGACCAAGTTGCATTAGATGCAGTAGGAACTTCTAAGAATAAATATTTAAAAAAAGCATGGGGAAGAGGAAAAATTGCACAAGGTATCAGTCCCAGTGTGACTGGCAGTCCTAAAGTAACTTAAATTCAGGTGCAAATCAGGCATAATATGCCACTACTTTTAAAAACACTGACTATGTAACAAGTTGGCTTACTATGTTCCAGTACGTTTGGGTATCATCAACACCAAATGGAAACACTCGAATTACTCCTCCTTGATGCTTCCTTCCTCTAAATGTCGCTCCAAATAACTAAGCATCTTCTTACTACAGTCCCTTCTCTACTCGCCGCACCTCTCCCTTCCACAAACCCCTTTCCCCATCACTGTTCCCCAAACATTCACAATCCCAGCTTCCCAGCACCTTTTCCCACTGGCACCCCAGATATCACCATTCCGACTTCTCTGGATACCCACTTTATTTTCCAAATTCTTGGAGAGTACACAGAGCCCCCCTCCCCCATCTCAGTTCTCCCTTTTGCCACGCTAATAAACAGCAGCTTGTTATCAGGGTCATCTGTACCACTGCAAGCATTACCTTCTCTTCTGCTTCCGCCATAGTGATGCTCCCTATCATGTGACAATGCCCGGAAGTAAGGAACATCAGGCATACTGGGTAATGTAGTTTCCCTTCCAAATTATCTGTCGCGGCTTTTTGCGACTTAGAAGCGGGAATGGAGATCGGGTTGTCTGTTTTCTTTTCTTCGTTAATGGGAATGCTTTCTCTTAAAAAAAAAAAAAGAAAAAAGAAAACCGATTCAAAAGGTTGTAAAAGGTCAAACTAGTTTTTTTTATTATTCCACGTGGGCGTGCAGGGCCAGTTCCAGGCAGGACTATAGAACTTAGGAAGCGAAGGTTTTTTGCTTTTCCTTCACACTTTTTCTCCTCATATTCCATGCGTATTCTCAGCAGGAAATTTAAAAAGGGAGAAAAAAGCTCCATTAAGGACGTAAGTGGGGATCGTGGAGGTTTAATTCTCCCCAAAAGCATTGTGGTCCTGATTAATTAATTTATTTGACTTCTATACTGCCCAAAAGTTGAAATCCTCTGGGTGGTTTACAACAATCAATTAAAATACAATCTAAAATACACATTATAAAACATAAATAGGTTGCCATACAAAATGTAAAAGTAAATTTAAAACACACATAAAACATGATTGGGGTTGTGCATGCTTACACTAAAGAAGCGAGTTGCCCAGCAACACACACTGTCATTTAATGTAACACGTTGTTTGACCCTAAACCACACTTACTGAAGTGGAACCAACAGCTACGGTGGGAAGGGGGTTATGCCAAAGGAAAGCGGGATTGGGACACTATCATGGGGCTAGGAGATTAGACCCTTCTCTCCATGCCTGAAATTGCCTTTACCAATGTCCTTTCCTTTTATCTCCCTCTAGAAGAGCAGCACTCAAAAGGGTGTTGCAGGAGAGGCACAAAATTCCAGGAACTTCCTGGGTAGTAGGGAGACAGTTCCTCTCTCTTCCCTTGCTTCCCACTGCAGGTAAGGAAAAAGAGGAGAGATTGAAATTGACTGTTTATGGCTTGGCCATCTCTCCTCACCGGTCAGCTGCTTTTCCTTCCCCTTCTTACCAAAAGAGTCTCTCAGAGTTGTTTACAAACAATTCAGTAAAGACCTTACAACCTTAACTCTAAAAGCGCATGCCACACAAGGAAAAGGGGATGGGGAAGGAAAAGGAAAAACTTACATTTTGGGGGTTGTGCAAATAAAATGGTAAAACTATGCAGGGGAGCTGGATTTCAGTAACTGAGGTCACCAGAAGATGGGTGAACAGATGGCACTTCCACAGTTATATTATTCCCATGTCCACCCCTTTACTTTACCCTACATAAGTGCATGACAGAGATAAACATGTTTGAAAAAAAGGTTGCTTAATATCATGCACAACTATAACTTGACAGAAATAACTTCCATATTTATTATTTTTATGCAAGCATGCATTCGTTGCATAGCTGAAGCTCAGGGTGATTCACAACAATTTAAAACAATTCGACACATAAATACAGAGAAGAAATTTAATTAAAACATCCATAGTACTGTCCCACTGCTAAGACAACAAGGCAGCCCATAATACACAGCCAAGGTATTTGTAGAGGTGACCAAGGCAGACATGCAGCTGTTTGTCCCATCATGCATGATTGTGAGTCTTACAGCACCAGCCTGGGCATTTCTGCTCAGAAGTAAGCTTTGCTGTGTTCAGTGGGGACTTAGTGTCTAATCTGTTATTTAATTTTTCAGCCTAACAGTGTGAATCTGTGAGTGTTGACTCAAAAGTAAATAGAGGGACCTCACTGATGGAACTCAGAGGAATCCTGTGATTGGCATCCTGGCTGCCATTCTTGAGATTTTTCTTTAGCACCAGCAAAGACCTTTCTGTTCACCAAGACCTTTCAGATAGCTCACATAATCTTCATTTAAATAAATGTGAGTTTTTAATAGATGTTTCTTTCATTTTTATATATTCTACTTCTTTTGATAGTTTATGTTCTATTGCATATCTAAAATATTTTAATGGTTATTTTTCATATATTACCCACAGAAATTCATGTGTTCTCAGGCAAATGTTGCAAATAAATAAGTGGAAATGTTTTTGCTCACTTAGGGCATAATGCTATGCATGTTTAGAGAGAGAGAAATTCCACAACTCCCCACATGGTTAACTGAAAGGTTACTTGGGAGTTGTACAGCTTTTTTTTTTTTTTTTTTTTTTTGTCTAAACTCCCTGCTGCAATTAAGAGGGAATAATACAAGAATGTCTCAATAAGCTGGAGAGTTGGATGTATGATTTTTACCTATTTTTCTAAAGCGTTAGAAATGTGTGTATACATTGTGCCATCCATAAGTAATCTCTTAAATTTATTGATGATTTTTCTTTTAATTTTTTAAACAAACCATTAATGAGAGTTTTGAACAGAACGCCACCTGTGACCCCTAGAGAACTCTGATGCCTCTTTTGAAGCTGAAGTTAATGACCTTTGCGTACTGTTTTCCAACCAAAGTATATCCCCATTTTGTGGTAGTTTCTTTTATTCAAGCTTCAGTTGGAATTAGATCAAAGGGCTATGCTAGGAAACTATTATTTTGAAGACTGCTAGCCCCTTTCATTTCATGAGTGCAGATGCTACAGAGAGTTAAAAAGCAGCAAAATACGTAAGGGAAAAAGGAAGTAAAAACATCTATTTTTTGGTAGTACTACTCTTTCCTTTCCCCACTTAACAGAACATGACACTAGTAGCTTTTGTGCTGTGAACATTGGCATAGAGCAAGCTCTGCATTAAAAAAATTTTTTTTTGCAAAATGTGCTCTCCAACCCAGCCCTTGTCTAAAGAGTAGGGTATTCCTCTTGGTTTCATCTTTTAATTAAAATGGCTGCTCCCAGACTCCGTGTTTGAGCAATGCAAGTGAGAAGATCCTCTTTCTCATAAGTACTTTTATGTTTAGTAGCAGGAGGGACCAGCAGAGAACCTTACAGAGCTCTTTCTCATAATTTGAAGAAAAACAAATTGCAGTCAAATCCAGACAAAACGGAGGAATTAAGGGCCAAGATCCAGGATTAGAGAAATGTGTCAACTGGTTCTAGGTGGGATCACACTCCCCATGAAAGATTGTGTGTGCAGTCTGGGGATGCTTCAGAGGTCAGCATGTAGAGAAGCATGGTCAAGAGTGTCTGCTATCAACTTCTTTAGCTGTTTCTCAAACTGTGTCCCTTCCTAGAGAAGAATTACCCAAAGACAGGTAATTCTTCTGTGCTGATAACATGTGTTGCTTTTCTTGGCTTTGGAATGCAGTGATGGAGAAAGATTTCACCTGATGAACTTCCACCTGGAAGACAACCGTTAAAGGGACAGGAACCCTGCTGAATAAAAGATGGCAACTCTAATAGGAATTATGTATGTCTTGTGGTTTTCCTGTAAGGTAACTGAAGCAGCTTACATAATTTCCTCCTCACCATTTGATCTTCACAACAACCCTGTGGGTAGGTTAGTATGAGAGTCACTGACTGGATGAAAGTCACCCAGTGGGCTGCATAGCTGAGGGAGAACTACAACTGAAGCTCCCAAATCCTAGTCCAGTTCTTGAACCACTACACCACACCTATTATTATTGTTTAAATGTAAATAAAAATAAGATAAAAAGGCTCTCAATCTTACCATCATTTTGTTCCATGTTTATGGATCCTGCATTTGGTGTTTTTTTTCCTTCACTTACATGCCACCTATATATTCATTAGTATTTATCTCTTCCATGCATCATCATCTCTTATTCTTCCACAGCAAGCTTTGATGATGTTGCTATTCATGTTAAATAGATCACAGTCAAAACACATTTGTATTTTATTCTGAGAAACATTTGATTTTTCCTTTTGACATGTATGAAAAGAGAAGTACTTAGCCTTCCACCTACTAAATAGTTTGTGTTGTAGCATACAGAAATGATTGATGGAGATTGTCAAGGTGTATGTCTAGAAAGAAGACTCTTGTTTTCTTTAGAATGGGGTCTCATACTCATGGCCCGCGGGCCAATTGCGGCCTGTGGGACGATATTTTGTGGCCCCCACTTGATATCAAAGTTTAGTGATAGTGCGGCCCGCGCGTTTTTCTCACACGCACCTGCATGAGTCGTTACCCTGGGTGCAATGTTCCCTCTAAGCTGCGTGCCGGGCCGGGCGGGGCACGGGGGAGGGGCCCTGCGGCCTGCAAAGCGCCGGTGGCGCCCAGGCCGGCCTCCGGGAGCGATGCGGGATGAGCGGCCCACCACCGCCGCGGTGACCTGCAGTGCAATTCTGAACTCAAAGCCAAGTTCAGGGAGGTGAGTGGAAAAGCGGACAAGCTTGGACAATTTTTGAGAGAATTGCCCCTTACCTTCCCTGAGCTTTCCAGGATGTTCAAGTGGACCATGTGCCTTTTTGGGAGCACCTATCTGTGTGAAAAGCTCTTCTCCACCATGAACTTTAATAAGTCAAAGTTCAGGTCCAAACTTACTGATGAGCATCTTCAAGCCATACTGAGGGTCTCAGTTACTTCCTCCCTCAAGCCAAATGTGGCTCAGCTGTGTAAGAGGAAGTGCCTCTGGCAGCAAGGAGTAGGAGGAAGTAAGAGAAGCCTATGTTCTGAAGAACCATTCATGTTCTGAATTATTACTAGTAAAGATTGAGAAGATTGGATCAGTTGTACTTTTTTTGGAATACTTGAAATCTGTTTTTTGTGGAATACTTGATGTGGCCCAGCCTTACCCAGACTCTACTTCCAGCGGCTCCCAGGTAAGTTGAGTTTGAGACCCCTGCTTTAGAATATTCTAAACAGAGGCAAGTCACTATTTGGAGAGAAATATAACTAAAAAGCCCCTTAAATAGATGCTGTTCACATCTTAAAATGTGAACAGCATCTATTCTTTTTCCCCCCAAATTTTATTATTTTCTATACAAATATAAAATAAAACAGCGATTACTCCCAAGACATCGGACATACTGGGTTAACATCTTAATCTTTTCACAATCAACAATCATATTCAATTCTACATATAGTCCCATTTCTCTAACCAATAATAAAAGGAATTCCAAATTTGATAGAAGTATGTATCCTCCTTCAAAGACAGACTCAATCTATCCATTTCTCCACAATCCAAAATCATTTTTAAGATCAGCTCTTCAATAGGTGGCTCTTCATTCCTCCAGTGTTGGGCAAATACAATCCTTGCCATGGTAATTATATGTAAGATCAAATGTATACGTTGTTTATCAAAATCATCAGGAATGATGCCTAATAGAAAAACTTCAGGTTTAAATATTAAAGGTTTTTGTAGCATTTCCTCAAGCCATTTATGCATTTTAACCCAATATTGTTTTGCCTTAACACAAGTCCACCACATATGATAGAAAGTATCAGTATTTGACATATTTGGGAACATTTTTGCTAGTCTATTCAGTGATAAATACCATCTATAAAACATTTTATAAAGGTTTTTTCTATATGAGGTTGCTTAATATTTCTTTCCCACAGCTTTTGCCATTTCTGTAACTCGATATTCTTGATGGGGCTTGTGAATGTTTGTCCATGCAGCTTGGGCAAGTTCTGCCTTCAAATGGACAATGTACATGCTGGGAGCACATTATGGACACCTAAACTAACTTATATAAAACATGCTTCATACAGTAATTTTTCAATCTCATCACACTTCCTGGCCTATATTATTTAAGGTGTCCTCTGTATGTGGGGACAGGCAATCTTTTGGACCTGTGGGCACTTTTGGAAATTTGAGAAATGATCCCAGGCACAACCCAATATCTCTGTCACAGGTGTGCATGGCTAGCCAGAAGGGTCAGGTAGCCTGCCTAGAGTGGAGGTACACGAAGGAACAGAGGAAGCTCTCATATACCATCACACCATTGACTGGCTGTGGCTCTCTGGAACTGCAACTGAAGTTTTTCTTAGCCCCAGTCAAAGATTTATCTATTTACCCCACAACTTTTCCTCCAAGGAGTCCAGGGCAGCCTACATGAACTTCCTTCCCTTTTGATCCTCACGACAACCTTGTGAGCAAGTCAGGCTGAGGGTTTGGGGCAGGCTCAAGGCACATGATGTGGCCTCCTTATTTTAAGAGCTTTTCTGCATGACCATTGAAAGGTATTCTTGTTTTTCACTCATGGTTCTTTAAACACTCATGGTTCTTTATGGGTGTTTTTAAGACCCTCCATTTTTCATTCTGTCTTTTAAGAACACTTCTTGGAGACTTTCAGGAACTTGCAAATTCATCTGCAATGAAGTGTAAGTCTCTGCTGGTGTAACTGTGTTATTCTGTTATACCACAGCGCCACCACCTGATCATGTAGTAGAAGGGCAGGAATGGAAAGGCTCCTTTCTGCAGATTTTCAGATGATGAAACCAGAAGTAGACAGAATGCACTGACAACCTCAGAGCTAAACAGATTTGAGCCTGGTTGGTATCTGGGCTGGAAAATGTCTGAAGACCGCATGTGTTTGTTTTTGTTATGCACTATCAAGTCACTTCTGACTTATGGTGACCTATGAATGGATTCCCATCAAAATGTCCTGTCCTTGGACAGCCCCGCTCAGCTCTTGTAAACTCAAGCCTGTGACTTCTTATACATCCTGAAAAGTGACAGGATATGACTGTCAATAATCATAATAAACCCTGTGTTCTATTCTTGACCCTTTTCTCTTATAAGCGGATCTTACTGCGTGATCTGCTGAGGGGGCATAAGATGTTTCACATTTCTAGATCTGTGGCTGGAGACAGAGCTCTGACTTTGGAGGTGGGACACTGTGCACTGCTTTCCCATCCCCCTCAGAGCCTGTGTGGAAAGATCCACACCAGCTGTCTCTCAGGGGTCAGCAAGTCAACCTCAGAGAGGGAGTAAAGGGAGCATTCCAGCAGGTGGGGAGGGGGGAGATGGCAAACATTGCCTGTGCCCTCTTT